AAGTTCTTGGATGTATAACTCTGAATGTAGTCATGTCTTTGCGAGTACCATTACATCAGGCTGCTAAAACGCAACGAAACAACTGGGAAGTGAACTGCGAACCATTGTAGGGCATGATATTTTCCGGAAATCAAAAAATGGAAAACAGGCGTTATAGTTCAGCAATCGTTCCAGTTGCAATGGTTGAATGCATCATGCAAATTTTTGGCAACTTTCTGTAACCATCCACAAGGAATAGGAAATTTATCCGTTAAATGATCCAATAATATCACTGTGGAGGCGCGCCCATGGTCTCTCTGGTTTTGGACAGGGTTCTGCTGGGTGTCGTTTCAGGGAGATAGCACAGGTTAAAAAGCTTCGGCACAGAAGCTCCAGTTGTTTATACATACCGGGCCAATAAGCATAACACCAGGCCAAAACCTTCATTCGGTTTATTCTCGGATGTCTCAAATGAAAACGGGTCAAAATTCTGCTGCGGAGTTCCGAAGGAATGATGAGGCGGTCAGCTTAAAGGGGTAAAAATCAACAGTGCGTTGCGTCACTAATAAACTTGTCGGAGTTCCCTAGTTGGACAATGTGCTGGCCAGGCGGATCGGTGACATGTCATCGCCAGTTGTAGAGTGCTGTCCGATTCAGTTTCAATACGAACCATAACAAAATTCACCGGTAGTTTGTTTGTGGTCTCCAAAACTGCGGTTCTGATTTCGGGCTCCATATCAAAGTTTGTGATAACCATTTCCTCCGCTTCCGAGCTATGACCATGTATTAATAAGGAACATGCATCTGTTTGTACCAAACTAGCACCTGCTATCTATAACTGGTGAGATCTAACAGGTTGGATACCGGTCCTGGTGTACAGCGTTTTCAAAAGAGCAACACTCAATTATTATCTGCTTCTGCAGATTCGGTCCCAGTGACTGAATTGACCAAGATTCACCTCATGTTAAATCGTTGCTCTTATTGGGATTATGCATTGCAATGCATGCACACAACGAGTGCTATAACAGTACACTGACACAATAGGCATGAATCGAATTAGCGCAGAACGCTGAAGAAACAATCAACGCTCTACGGATGCATTATGTTTTGGCCTTAAAACGAAACACCCAGTAGTGTTACATGTCCCCACACTTCGCTCCAAATTCATCCCTTGTTCTCCTCTCTTTCACAGCTGCATCATTTAAGGAAGACGCTCTCAATGCCCAACGACAGATCGTCTAGAATCATTAGAATTTAGCTATGGTGCCATCTGTGATAGCTAGAGCACTTGCTGCATCAAGATCTTAGTTCCTCCATTAAGGCTTTGGTAAACATTCCAACACCTGAGGAGCATCGTTTTGGTTAGCGTAAATGTTACGCAGCCACCTGCTGATTGCAAGTAGTGGCTAGAAGAAAACGCAAGATACAACTACATGGACTAATACTATCTACATGGACTAATACAAAGCCAACAACCAGCTGGACCATCGCATTTCGCTTCACAAACTCAAAAGCTCCGAGTTTGGCATCCTGTTCTTGAGTGGATCGGGAATCTCTTGCAGTAGAGGTAACTGTTGCTTAGATATTGAAGTGTGTTTTACCAACCCGTACATTTGAATTGCACAACTACACAAGGGCTAGTGATCGGTACGCGCCTGTTTCTAGTGCTCGTTACTGAGCCTTCTCGTGTTACCGCTTTGTGTTGCATATAGTTCGCTGATTAAGTTAAATGGTGGTGGACGATGGACGATCAAATAGATCACGACGTGTTTAAGCGGGACCTGGACAATGAGTCTGTATGGCGTTTCCGCAATCTGCTAGAGTTAGAAACACAATGAGTCAGGTGGTTCAGCTTTACTTCGACAAAACTTCAGTGCTAACCACAACGTCCTGTACAAGCCCCTCCATAACTTACGAAGTGTGTGGCAAGGATTTCCTCCACCCAGATGGTTTGATGGACCAACAAGGACGGCTGTGAATTCAGCAAACGCTATGCGGATGAAACTTGTGCCCATGTATCAGATGGTCTGGCCATCAGCGATGTTCCAACCATAGTCGTCGCCTCGCCAAGACTAACCAATAACGCTTTTTCTACAGAGGCTCTATTACAAACGATGAGATCTCTACACGAACGCAGATCGCCGGGTGTCGACACCATTCGTCTAGAGGCACTGGAAGCAGCAGTAAGCCCACTGGCAGGACATTTAGCTCAGGTTTCGCAGCGCTTCTTAGACCAGAACCAAGTTTCCGCCATATGGAAGCTTGAAATCATGACCCAGATTCACAAAGATTAACGCAGAACATATCGCTCTAACTGCTGTCCAGTATCCCTTCTTCTTACACTCTCCATGCTCATGGGATCCATTGTTGCGGATGCACTGGCGTGCTGTCTGGAAAACTGCAATCTCATCACGCCTGATCAGCACGGTTTCCGTGGAGAGCTGTCATGTAAAAGTAATTTGCTGATCGCAAGTACTAGTTGGACCGAGGCTGCTGACGTGAGGATTTTTCCAAGCATTCAATTATCTGGACCATCTGATCCTAATCTCCGAACTCCAGCATTACGGGATCGCCGACATCCATTTAAGCTGGACTGCCAACCTTCAACTGCGATTAGTTGTCAGAGTGTGGAACTCTTTATCGGACACCCTACAAGTTGAGTGGGGTGTGCTCTAAGGCTCAATTCTGGGTCCACGTTGGTATTCGGCGTTTATCAATAACCATGCACAAGGAGTCGCTTCAAATTTCTTAAGGTTTGCCGATGATATCAAGATCTGGCGCAGGATCCAGGCGAATCTCAACCAATCGGCGCTTCAGTGTGACCTAGATGCGATGTATCAATGTTCAAACCAAAAATTACTGCATTTCAACTTCAGTAAATGCAAGATAATTTCCATCCGAGATAAGTGCAGGTACTCAAACCAGCAAGGAATGAATATGCTACAACGACCCACTGTCGAATGTGACTTGGTTGTCCTGGTTCAAAAAGACTTGGCTTGCTTCAGGCAATTATCCTACATCTGAAGCTTACCATGGAGTGAATTGATGTTAATTGTGTGTGCCGTGAAACAAAGCGGATTGCAGGAATACGGCGGAGCAAACTATGTCCTTAATTTCAGGTTTCAAATACTAACTGCGTACTACCATTTTTATCATTACTGTGATGTTCTTATCCCCAACAACATTCCAAAGGGAGTTGTAAAGCAGCAATTCTTAACCCTTATGAATTCATTGTTCATTGTCACTGTTGTTAGGCGTTGATTCTTGTTGGACAACAGTTGACTGGGCGTTCGTTGTAAATCTCTTAAGTGACTTGTGAATGGAAGCTCCAGCGTTCGGTGCATCGCGCTAAAGCGAATTAGGTTGTGAGTACAGATAGCAAGTCTGCAGTGCTATAGTGTATCCATGGTCTTTTCATGTGCGGTGGTAAAACTAATGGAGTTGCAGGTTTCGAAGGAAATTTGCAAGGTTTGTTATACGTATACACGAGGATGTGGAGAAGAAGTTGAACTCGCCGGACCTGCGGTGTTGTGCTGTTAAACAGCTTTTCCGGTGTAGACTTCGCGTCAAGTTTGATGCAGTTGCCAACAACTGTGTCTGGAAGGAATGTCGTCTACGCGCTGCAGCCTTCATCGGATGAGAACCAGAACAAAGTTTAGAGCCATCTGTGGACATTATTATCTGTGTCAACCTGTCGTTATAACGTGTGTTGTTTTTCGAACGGCGGTGCCGGTTCAACTGTAGCCCACGGGCAATTGGTAAACATATGAATGACAACAATTTATCTTGTGCGCTTTCTTTTGTCCAAAAAGCAAGCCAGTCCACTTTAACAAACATCCACAACAAGCTAGTGGAGAAAACAAATATTATCATTATATACTGAATTTTGGAATTTTTGTGTATTTTTCTATTGCGCTTGCAATCCTGAGCAACAAGAATCAATTAATACAGAAGACCGTGAAACGGGAAATACAAGTTTTTTATCAGCTGAGCCTTGCTGTTTGCAAAACACCTGAGTCTCACAGCACAAATGCATTGACATTTGGGAAGACAAACAATTATGGGCATATAAATAAGTGCGCTCTTACGTCTTGGGCGAAGGTATAATATTGGTGCTCAACGCAGAGCATGGACTTCTTGGCAATCGTTTGCATGTTGATGCTTTTACTGACAACATTGAGAGCAAAGAAATACTACAGTGATTGCTGTGAGTCCAATAACTTTAAAGATTTATTTGATTTGCTTTGATCTTCTCATTCTTGCTTCGTAAAAGGAATATTTCTAGAGTAAATCTCCATGTTTTAGGTAAGCTAAGCTATCATACACGTCACATTGTGCTTAGATTTGTTTACAAATAGAGTACAGTAATTGTACGAAGCGTGTGCTCTTGAAATTACTGTATGGCACTCCTGAATTTGATCAGTTCCATATTATGTCCACCTCTCTCACTTGACCACTGTTATCCAGCGTTTCAGTGAATAAAATTTAACTATTTTTTACGTGATCACTTTGAACTTAGCACTTATTCCTATTTACAATTTCCATGCCTTCTCTAATGGCCATACTCACTGGTAAGTTATATGTTTACATACTTATCAGCTCCGAATAAAACTCTCATCAGTTTTGCTATATCGGGATGCGATGCAAATGAATGTAATGTTGACGGAGGCACCATCATCAAAATATCGATCGTGTTCAGCCCAAGTGAGAACACGGTGACTGGTTTATTCTGCATTGATCCAGGGAAGGATGCTTTTAATACACTAGATTTAAGTGGAAATTGGCACACCGCTACATTTGTGACTGTGATTTCTGTCTGTTTGCTGTGAATGTGAATGGGTTTGCATCTAACAATGCACGCGCAGTTTATTCCGAAATTTGCAGTGTGCCCACACTTCTTTCTTCCTCTCCTTCAGCTTCCGTGTACTCATTGGTTTCCTATTTTCAACATTCTTGACGCTTTTTTGTTAGTTCATTTCATGGGATTACTGGTTTACCGAGACTAACTGTATTCTGTTCAGAAATAGCCGTTCATTCAGGAAAAGCCAAGATGTGCTTGAAGAATTCAAAGCCACTGATGTGCCACAAAGCTTTCGCCGAGATACCAGATATATGCGAACACATGGAACCCAAATGTCCGATGGAACCTGGTCGCGTTTACACTTATAACTATTTATATCAGACGCCAAATATATCGGTAAGATAACCCTACTTTCAACTCACTTGTGTTCACCAACATGACAAGTGCAGTACGCGTCGATTAATCGAAAAGTGTTTTCTTGTCGTTTTCAGGTGAGAGGCGTACCAGTCTACAAACTTTACGATGAAAAATGTAACATGATTGCATGCGTTGAACTAGTTGGTGAAATACGTTCATCCAATAAGAACATATCCCAACTGACGGAGATGGACGACTCACAGCCGTGTAAAGACTGAAGCGAAGTCTATTTTAAACAACACAAATGCGTGTTAACTTGAATAACTCACGGCTGCGTATGCAAATTACAAATATTGCAGTGCGTGTGTGAATTCAAGGTGTATCGGTACAAATACAAGATTTAATGTGATCACTAAATTCGATTTTCTATTCGAAGCTGGATGGAGAATGCACTGAGCTTACATACGCACAAAGCTGAATCACTTCTGCACACAAGTGAAATGGTGTGCAAATTCAGTTTGCCGCCACCTACCACATATTTGGCGTCAAGCTAAAAGGTGGCAGCCTTAACGCTTTTGAAATGTGTTTGTTGATACCACAGTGATTAGAAGATAGGGACTAAACCTAGTGCGTAAGTCACTGTAAATGAGCAAATGCTCGGAGGCTGTTGGTGATGAAACGAATAGACACATGTGGTTCAGAGTACTGAGCAAATTTATTCGAAATATTTAGACCAAATTCATGACTCACAGTTAAACGCGTTCAGCAGAGGTATTTGAAGGAAGTGGAAATCTTCACATGAAAGGATGGAACAATGGAATAGTGGTATAATACGATCAAAAAAGCCAAAGCTTGACAAGTGCCTGGGATGGTCCGCATGATCTAGGTAAGCTTACCAAAGTGAAACGCGCATCCGTGGACTCACCACATTATCCCCGTTAATGAACAAATAAATCCGTTTTACCCCCATTTATTGTGTGTTATTGAGTATCACGTTGATCTGTATCTATTAGTCACTCAGTGAATAGAACGCAAATTAACTAATGCAGGTATTGCAGTATATCACCAAGTCGTTTTATTAAAACGGACCACTTAAGCGCCGAAATGATCGAAGTCGGAGAGTGTTCCAGGCCGACAAATTCGAAAAGAAAATTATTTCCTGTGACATTCCGGCCAACGGCATTGCGAAGCCAGTTGCATCTGGTGATCCCACAATTTTGGGTTGCAATCACTTTTCAGTAGGTAGCGGAAACCGTGCCCAGGATTTTCAAGATCTAGCACTCTACACTCCCAGAGCTTACAGTCATAGTTGGTATGTCATGTGAAAAATCGCTTTGTCTTGTTGGTTGCCCTTCGCTGTGCGGTATTCAGTGAGGCCAGCTCGTGTGTAAGTCAGCGTTACCTAGTCTAAATCCAGCACTCTAGGCGGGGCAACAAATATGCGTTTGAGCATTTGAGGGAAGAAGAAGGGTCGAGTGCTCTGAACACACTCTGTATGAGATTAACATTTTGGTTCAGGTTGGTCTGATAGTAGGTTCTCCGTTCCTTTTATGTGCTCGATGGCAAACGAAAATTCTTGAAGCCGTTAGGCCCATGGAACCAGACGCCCCCACAGGTCCTACAACGTCCTCCAACATTATCGCTGTTTGTTGTCAGTAATAACATGTAACTCATTCGCTAAGAGTTAGTATGTTCTTCTATTCTCTAAAGCCCACCCGATCGTAATCCATTCTTCTCGATGATGGAATACTTCTGCTCTGCGCCCGTTAGCATTCAATTGGCATATCATATCACTCCAGCTGTTCGGGACAGAATTTAACAATGGCTCACAAAAGGAGTAGGGGGTAATCCTGTACTACCGAAACGACTTACAGTGCGAAGCCGTGGAGGATTCAGATTCGCAGTTCCCCGACTCTCTTTGGTGCCGGTTGCAGTGAAAAGGCAGGGACGCTTGCCTTATTATCTTGGTGTACCGCGCCCCTAACTCAGCACCCGAAACCGACTACCACCTTATGGCTGCTTTAAGGTGCAGTTTACAACAAAAGTACACTCACATTCTTATCATGGGTGATTTCAGCGTACATTGTTTAGAAGCCCCTGCCACAACCGGAGAACAATTCAAAACCGATCTACAAGATCTAGTAACTACTGCTCCTCTTTATAACCACATCACTTTGCCCACTCGGTTCAGAACTGGTAACAGGCCATCTGTGCCGGATCTTGTGCTTACCAACAAGGAGCATATGATTGATGCGTTGGTTTTAGACTGCCCGTTGGGTCGCAGTGATCACGCAGTCATCAGTTTCAACTTCGTCTGCTATGCAGAATATCTGAATGATAACGATGAGACTGTGCGAACCATCACAAGGTACGACCGACTCGCCCAGCTAGTCAGCGCCACAACATGGTCTTTCCTCGAAGAAGAACCCCCGGAAGTCGCCTGGCTCGAGTTCGTCAAAACATTCAGTCAGCTGATTGCACAGGCTTCAGAGATAAAAGCTTGCAATAAGTGCAAATCCGTTTCTTTCGTTAGGAGCAGAACTCGAAAATGGATGACAGTACGCAACGCAGCATGGCGAGTGTACAGAGAAGCTCCAGCACCAGAAACGTGGGACAACTACGTAGCCCAACGTAACCACTGCACTCAACTGTTAAGAGAAGACAAAGCCGCCTATCAGCAGAACATCGCAAAAACCGTCAGTGCTAACCACAAACTGCTGTACAAGCACGTTAATAGCCTACGAAAGGTGAGGCAAGGAATTCCTCCACTCAAGACGGCTGAGGGCCCAACAAGAACGTCTATGGAAGCTGCAAACGCGCTGCAGATGCAATACGCCCCCACGTTTCAAAGGGTCTTGCCACCAAGCGATCTACCAAGCTTTGTATTCTGCTCACCAGGACTAACCCACATCAGTTTTACCGCAGAGGCTGTATTGCAAAAGCTGACTTCTCTACGCAAACACAGCTCGACTCCGTCCTGTCTCAAACTGATGTTAACGAGTTACGAACCACGACTGCCTGCCGTTCGGATCCTGGATCCCTTGGCTACAATGGACCACTTAGCGATCATAACTGATATGGGATTACCTATGTCGTATTCATGTCCGCCGGAACCAGCTTACAACTACTTGAAAACGGACTTCGAAGGTATAGCTCGAACCGCGAGCCAACTGGATTGGTCGCTGTCACAAGCTGCATCTGTGGAAGACTGTCGAATATATATAGGAGATAGACAACACTGTGTTCCGATTTGTGTCCTTGAATTGTCGTAAGTTTGGACTGAAAGGCCTCATTGGTTTGAGAAGGAGTATGGAAATCTTGCTCGGGGAAGGCGCAGACTGTGAGATAGACTACCCCACTATGGCTCTGCCAATGACTACCAAGAGTGTAAATGTCAGGGAAACCTCTGCAATAGGGCGAAAGATAAATAAGCACCGACCATTTGAAGAGCAGCTCGCCATCGCCGCGAAGGCCGCTCGAAAATAACTTTTGCTAAATCGAAGCGACGCTTGAAGCCAGCAGGTGATGTGCCCTTGATTGATGGCCCGGTTTTGACAGTCTTAACCTCCAGCACTGAGCTTGCATCCGCGTTGGCGGCGCACTTCCATTCTGTATTTTCAAATGACCAGGTGGTTGTTCCGAGTATTGCTGTGTCTGTTACAATCAAAAATAATCCTAGAGTCCGCACAGCAAGATTTTATGCAAGGCCGCCCAGGCATTAAAAAGTGCGTGTGAGGAGTCTTGATTGGTTGAAGGCAATAAGCAAGCGGAAGTCTATCGAAATGATATCCATCGATCTCAGTAAAGCGTTTGACAAGGTCAGCCATGAGGTTCTGCTTCACAAAGTCAGCATGTGTGGTGTTGGTGGCTCATTACTCCGGTGGATCCGCGACTTTGTTGTTGGACGAAATTGGAGGGTACAGTTCGACAACCATTTAACTGAGTGGTATCCCTCTACACGTAACATGCCACAAGGCACTGCGCTGGGGCCCACTCTGTCCCTGATCCACATCAACGATCAACCTCAGCTTTTCCGGTCAAGGTGCGCCTTGTTTGCGGACGTCATGACGATTTGAAGATAAGCTGACGCTCTCGACGACTGTGGCTTACATCAGCAAGACCCCAACCGCCTAGCCACATGGTCCGCTGAAGTTCATCTTCCAGTCAACCCATCCAACTCTGTATATATGAGCGTGAGGAACAGTGCTGATGGCCAACCGCTATAACCCACACACTCCGAAAAAGACCTAGATGTACTCCCGAGCTACGATTAAAGTCCGTGGACAACACGAACAGGCCATATTGCAACGTACTGCGCATGTTTTGGGCGTTCCGAAGTAGCTTCGGCACGTGGTTTGATGAGGTTGCTACTCGCCTCTTCCATCATTAGAGCATTGCTAGTGTACGGTTCGCCTGTCCATTCCGATTACCCGAGGCGAGGCACGAAAGATCGAACTGGTCCAACACCTTGCTTCCAGGCTTATCCCGAGTTTACGTGGTTTAGGGCACAAAGACCGGTGCGAGAAGATAGGACTCTATACCTTGTCCTACCGTCTGGTGCGAGTCCAACTCATTATCACCTACCGTATGCTACATCTTGGGGACTTTCCCATGCTAAGGCCAATGCTGCACTTACGAGTGACATGCAGCACACGCAGACACAGACACAAACTTGTCGTGCCGGATGTGAAGCGTGTTCCCCACCCACTGTGTTGGAACGGAGATTGGTATAAATTTGGAACAGTTTGCCTGAACATGTGATGGAGGCAGCATATGTGCAGCATTCCAAAACGTTGTTAGTTTTATATTTTACTACTAATTGATTAAGATAACGATTGCACACTAACAATGTTCGTGGGTCATGCAGTACCGTGAGTCAGAGATCTTAAATGTTACATGAGAACGATAACGATAATCACGGCTGACGACTTTTACAAAGTTTTTCACCATTTATTGAATGCTTTGTACATAATTTCTTTCTACTTGCTCTATAGTACAGTAATCAGAATTCTGCATGAGAAACGTACTTTGTGACTGCGTGTTAGTTAGAGACTATCATAGTGGTCATAAAATCTGAGCTATCACCATCATTAAAGGGCGTATTGGGCTTGTCTTGTATGACGTCCAGGTGGGATCGTTGCTGTACAAGAGACACGTAAACCAACTCCGTCGAAAGTTTTGTCCTGTTCCACGGAGCGGCCATGAATCTTTTATCCTTGATCTTCTATTGAAGGCGTGCAAAATAAAAAGACCTACTGAAGTTGGAACGGCGTGTAACCTAGTCC